TAAAGATCCCTTGATGGTCTAAAATCGATAAGAGTAGGCTTCGGCCACCACCGGGCAAAATTCAAAATTTCCTACTAACTGAAAATATTAGGTGTGTCCCGCGCTCTAATATGACCGTATGCAGTTGCGAGCGCCGTAAAACACTGTACAAAAACAAACAAACAACTGTACCTGAATATAAAGACTCGTTCTAAACAACTCTCTGGTATGCGCCACTGTGGCCTTGACCCTCACACTCCCCTTCCACGGAAGCGGCGCCGTTGCTAGGTAACTGCCGTCCTTGTTGTCGGTGACGTCAGCAGCAATGGCCGCCTTCAGGTCCGCGGTCTCCAGCCACAAGCGTACACTGTCGCCACCTAGCGGTCTCCTCTGACCACGACCGTCTTTGACGGTGATCTGGAAAAAGCACGGTGGGTTTGTTGTTTTTTGTTTGTTTTTTGTTTTGTTTTGTTTGTGTTATTGTTACTTTTTGTGATGTGTTGGTGTTGTTTGTTTTTCGTTTTTTTTTTGTGGGTGTTTTTTAAAGTGTTTTAAGATGCTCGCAACTGCATGAGGTAATAATGAGCACACAGGACACATTAAACATTTTCATGTTGGTAGGAATTAATTTTGAATTTTGCCCTGGTGGCGGCCGAAGCCTCCTCTTATCGATTTTAAGACCACCAAGGGATCTTAAACGTGCGCAGCTTGCACACGGAACCTCCAAAACCTGAGTGTTAGATCTTACCCACCCGGAAGACAGCAGTAAGAAGGAGCCAAGGAGCAGCAACAGAAAGGCGGAAGAAAGAGTCGGGTGCTCAGAGGAGGGGCAAGGGGGGGGGGGCAGAAAATGGAGACAAAAGCAGACGACAGAACATGATTTTAGCCAAGTGTAAAGGACGTATTACACGTTCAGTTAAAACTGACATTCCAACATTAATGTTCATTATTCTCTCACATGAGACACCAAACAGAGGAAAATTGTAACAGCCAAGTTTTGACCAAAGAAAGGGAGCAAGAGAGAGAGAGAGGGGGGGGAGAGGGGGAGAGAGGGAGAGAAGACGGAGAGAGAGAGAGAAGGAGAGAGGGGGGAAAGAGAGA